AGCATTTTTCCTTGTTTACAAAATGTGTGTATTCATCATTAAAAACAGCAAAGCATGAACAGGCAAGCGAATGGAGAAAAGGGAAAAATAATTGACACAGAAAAAGAATATCAGTGAGCGGAATTACCGAGATTGTACGGTTAGTGCTCGGTCTACCCCTGATAAAAAATTAACTATCAACAGCAAAATACAATAAATGACGTGAACAGTGTGAGAAAGGATTTGAATCTCTGAGCTGAGTGCCAGAATCCCCACTATTTGTCGTTTAAAAACACAAAAATAGCATTTTTATCTGGACTGTTACATCAGCACCTCCCCGACCATGGCTGATCTCCAAAAAATTAAGCAGGGCTGGATTTTCATTTCCTGTTTAGCATGTGGATGGGAGACCACTAGGAATCCCAGGGCTTTGGGTTAGACCAGGAGATCTTAACATATATCTCAGAAGCCAGCAGCGCCAAACCACCTTCCTGTTGTTGCCAAGAAAATGACGCAGATGGGTTATGGTCACCAGACGTCAAATTTGACTTGAGGGGGATTTTCCTCTTATACACCTGTTAAAAACAGTCATGCCAACTCCTTTTCCCCATGATGTGTGCAGTTACAGCAAACACTGAAATGTGAGGAAGGAGGACAGAGAGCAGGGGCACAGTTTACCCATCTATCATGGTTTATCACAGTTACCAACAGTGGCAGAGCAAGCTACTGTATATAAACAAGGATCAAACCCCACACCCACTAGCACTGATGATGTTACCTAGTTGGGCAATGAAACGTCTTCAAGCAAACGACCAAGCTCAGAGAGCACCAAAGACTCCACCATTTATCTGTCAAGCTAAGCCCTAATTTCTTTAACCCTGGTTTACTGCCTAAACCATAATTGCTTAAGTTTGCACCGCATGCTAAGCTATAAACCACGGCTTACAAACCACAAACTGTGCTTTGCTTCCCCTAAACCAAAGCGAATAATATTACGGTTTGCCACAGTATACGATCCCCAACCCTGCGTGTTCCTTTTTCTTCCTCATGTTCACTCTGCTTTCCTGACTTGATGCAGGTCAGGCCCTGGAAACATCCAAAGCATGGTGGAAAGTGGATCCCTCAAAAACCATCAGGGTAGCACGGAGTGCTTAAACCACAATTTGCAGCACCTCTTGCATGACAGCAGCTAACTGTGGTTTATTCGATCAACCAGGAAACAGGGAGCTCCTGGGGAGGAAGGGGTCAGCTGGACTGCAAACCGAGAGACGGGATTTTTCCAACATGCCTCTGAAATACCCACAAAGCCTCTCACGCCCCGAGCACCAGTACCGACAAATAATTTATAAAGATCCCATCCGTCCTCCAAACCCCAACTCTACTGGGACCAGCTTCCTGCGTATTCGGAAGACGCAGATGCATAAACCGAGCTGGTGGAAATCAATCAGACGCTTCCCTCTTGCCGATAATGCGGCTTTTAACTCAAGCACCCCTGCTCCCCGTTTTTAATCCCCTTAAACAAATTTGCAAATGGTGATCCTGCCGAAGCAGTTAAAATGCACTGTTTCCTGCCACCCCCTTTCAAAGAAGAGGCAGAGAAGACCACCGGGAGGGCCGCCTTGCCTCAAGCCCGCCATGGGGGTTTCAAGGTTCCTCCCTTCTTGGGGGTTTTAATTGCTTAACGCCTTTTTCCCCCCGTTTTGGAATGTGTGCGTAAGAGAACCCGTAAGAGAAATGAGTCTACTGTCGTAAATCTTGGGCACCAGCCTCTTACACTCATGATTACAGTCAATTCCAGGGACATCTGCAGGGGGAGGTCAAAAAAGTCAAGATGGTGAAGCATTGATGAAGGGTGGGCAGGCTGCCATCTTGACTTTTGACCTCCCCCTCTGCAGCCACCCCTAGCCAGGTCCACAAAGCCTTCCGCACCCCTATGAGCATACCCCATCTCCCGGTCCCAAAGCACGTGCAGTATGAGGCGCCCTGACGTTCAAGGGGGAGGTGGCCTGAAATGATGTCAGCCAACACTGAAGCTCCGATTGGTTCTCTCGGTGTCCTTTGGACTGCCCCCTCCCACCTGAAGCCTTCTCCTGTCCCTCAGTCCAGCTTTGGCCACCAGCAGGACCAGACCTCCAGTTCCTGCAGCCGCTCTGCTTTTTCCATTTGACGAACAGGGTGGTCGATCAGATGACTACACGCTGGCTTCCCTAACACGTGCATTAGACACTGTAAATCAGTGTTGTCCAAACTTGGCCACTTTAAGATGAGTGGACTTCAACTCCCAGAATTCCCCAGCCAGCCA